AGAGTTAGCAAATGCCATACAAATTGGTAAACACTAAGATAATGGGTTCAAAATGGATGATTGAAATGCTATTGCCAATGCTGTTTAAATTATAGTGGGTAGTAGGGTACCTGTTACAGGAGAAAAGTTTCAGGAAAATTTGGAGAACTTACAGAGAAAATGGAAAGTTTGGAGAAGGCTGAAGATGAGTGGCTTTCGGTATGACCCAGTAACTGGGGCTATTACAGCACCAGATGAGGTTTGGGAGATGGAGATTCAAAGGCAGTCAGCAATACGCGAGTTCTATGATAAGCCTATACAAAATACAAGACAACTTACAGAAATTTCAGAGGGCATTTAAGCTGTCAGTCGGAATGCTATCTACCCATGAGCAAACCTGCCTCTTGTAGCCATTATTGAGATGTCTACTTTGAATACTCTATTGGTTATTAAGTCTGATGAAGAGACTAGTACTGACTGTCTACAACTAGTTAAAAGTATAAGGATATTAATGCTTTACTACTAACTCCACTAGGACATGTTGGACCTTGTTCTGAGAACCCCACTAATCGTCTGATTAATGCAGTTGAAAAGATAATTGATATCCTATTCTCCATTCCTGCTATGGCTTTTGAGTCTAGTGTCCATCGGGCTGTTATCAAGTTTCGCCAAATATATAAAGATAAAAGTTATTGGTCCACTCAGAATATTTTAGCTGGATATGATCTTTTTGAGAATTCTGTCAAGGTAGATATCTTCTTAGCATTAAAGGGCAGGAAAGATGAGGAAATGTGGCTGAGATGTCAAATTACTAGCCATTTGGCATAGTTACTGTATGCTAGCCAGATTACTCAATATTTATTCTGATAGTTTACATAGTCAGTCCATATCTTGGTTGCTCTTCTATTCTGATCAGCAATCATCTCTTACATATCCACTCCTAGTACATCTATCATTCTCTCTCCATTGTCATGCTACCAATTACTCTCTCCAAATATCTTATTTGTATTATCTTCTCCTCTCTCAATATAAAATTCATCATCCTCTCCATTAGCATGATGACAGATAAAATTGTGCCTGGACATCTAAGCTATATTCTGGAAAGATATTGAGAATTCAAAACCGATAACGTAGAACAGCAAATATTCTCTCAATTATATTGCATAACTGGGTATGCCGAAAGTTAAACAGCTTTTCTTTACTTTGAGGATGTTAGCAGAAGCGTGCTTGCTCTTGTAAATGGTATCGAACAGTGTGATATCGTGTAAGAAATCTGTAACCGGTACAAGTACTCGGTTATTGGTTTTGTTTTATGGTTTGTTTAAAGTATCGTTTGATACTTGGTTTTGTTTTATGTTTTGTTTTAAGTATCGTTTGATACTTGGTTTTGTTTTATGTTTTGTTTTAAGTATTGTTTGATACTTGATTTTGTTTTATGTTTTGTTTTAAGTATCACTTTGATACTTGGTTTGTTTTAAGTATTGTTTGATACTTGGTTTTGTTTTATGTTTTGTTTTAAGTATCATTTAATACTTGGTTTTGTTTTATGTTTTGTTTTAAGTATCGCTTTGATACTTGGTTTGTTTTAAGTATCGTTTAATACTTGGTTTTGTTTTATGTTTTGTTTTAAGTATCGCTTTAATACTTGGTTTGTTTTAAGTATCGTTTGATACTTGGTTTTGTTTTATGTTTTGTTTTAAGTATGGCTTTGATACTTAAGAAGTTTTACCAAAGAGTATCAATTGATACCTTTGATTAGTTTCGTTCATGCTAGACATGAACAGATTTGTGTATTTAAAGACCACCTGTTTCTACGATAGAAAAGGCAGACTTCGACAAACAGTATTTCAATATACTTGGTTGAACAGTTACTTCTTTGTTCCTCAGTACACCCTCGAAGCCTCCTTTAGTTCTCAGCTCTCACCTCCTCTCTGGAAGAGCAGGCCACCTGCCAACTATCGTATCTATTACCGATAACGTGATTAGCACCTTGCGAACATGTTACAAAATCCTTTATGTAGCCCATATCTGACATCAGCAAGATATACTGCATTCTCCTCTCTAGGAAAGCCATTGAGCTCTGTACTTTCTAGCACATGTATATCATTTACAGAGCCTTCCCATCCTGGACAAATGTAGAAAAAATACATATTTAAGCCGCAACCAGCAAGGACATTTTGGGTAATTGCACCCTTACGATTTCAATATGCACCTTGTTCAGTAGCCGGAATATGTACCAGAAAATGAGTACAGTCAATGGCTCTACGGACATCACGGAAACAAGACATTTTACCACACTTTTTCCAAATGCATGATGGGATGTTATTTGGCTGAACATGGACGAATGTGTCATATTACGATAATAAAGCCCTTAATACTTTGTGAATGTGTCTTGCAAATAGTTTAAGCCTTATATGTCAAACCATAGTAAAATCAGAATCAATTCCCTTACCTGAAGATTGTTTCCCCACTATGTTGAAATTGTTCTTGCACCTCTCTATTTGTGGCTCCATGGCCAACTGTTTATAAAAAGGTCATCAGTTGCTCTTTGACTGTAATATAGTACATAGAGGCAAGTAATCTATGTTTAAGTATCTAGTCATGAAGATCTAGGAAAGTTGTAACCGGCATACGAATGAGCTGTATTACTCGACATAGATGGCCTTGCAGAATGTTTTCTGTATAGTGCTCTTCAGAACTGATGGAGGTATAAACAGGCTGGTTCTGAAGAAAGCAATGGATATAGATTGACCTGCTGATTGCAATTTCAATGCGCTTGCAGATAAGGACAGCATTTATCATATCAGTATTGCTATTCGTTGTCGTCAGAATATAGCGTAAATATATTGGGATTAAACTTGCATAACTTAAAGGGTAAAAAGATAGGAGATAGTTTTCTAAAAGGAGTTATGTTATTTGCAAATATATTTTTACTCTAAAATTACAAGGCTTTCTATTGAGAATTTTGGTTGGCAACTATTCTATTACAAACTCTATGGAGTAGCTATTTACAGTGGATGATTTGAAATAGCTGTTCTTGAATGGCAGTGTTGTGGTGGCCGTTTTGGAATAGTTGTTTTGGAACGGAAAGGTTGATTCATTTCCCTTTGCCAAAAGGCCTTTCCGTTCGCAATTTTTTGAAACTGAAGGAAACGGTCATTTGTATGGGTGAACGGAACTGAACCATTGGTGCCAAACAGGCTCTTAGTGGTTTGAGAAGTGTGGGCAAGCGCTTTAGATAAGGCTTGAAGCCCGAAAAGAGCGAAATCTTTTTATAAGAATCCCACTCTCTGAGTAGTGGAGAGGCCGCTAGAGGGGGTCTTCTCTTAGGGCTTTCTGTGCGACTATTGAGAGTCTGGCCCTCCTCAACCTCAAAACTCCAAAACCACCCTCACCGAATCTACAGACATCATCTGCACCTCTTGATCATCTCCAACCTCTTCCCCACCCTCTGTATCACCGGCCCATTTCCATTAGGCTCGACAGACTTGCCTTTGATACCTACACCATCCAGCCGGCGGATAAGCACATCTTGGTGACGTTCCCGCGGCTCTAACGGTGATAACCACCTCAGAATTTGCGGCCCCTGGTCCAATACCGGTAGTGTAGTGTTGTAAATATTTGATACGTTGAAACAGTTGTTATTACCACTGAACTCTGTGCGTTGATCCGTCCCGAGATTCATGCTCCTGGGCTATCGGTTGAGTTATAAGTTGATAAGTGGAGAGTACCGTACTCGAGCACTATCGGGCTGCAGTGGGGTTGGCAGGATTGCAGGAGAAGATTCAATATAATTTATTTATCCTTGTATCGCCGACCCGGCAGGAGAAGAAAGGGGGATGGTATCCTACTTAAATTTAACTGATTGGTGATAGCTGTAACATGAGATACCACAGCCACACAAATATCCCAGGAAAATTTTGTGTGGTAAGATACCGACAACAGGGTACGAGTACAAGTTAATGCGCAAGGATGGGATACCGGAATTACTAAGCTTATCTAAGAGATAATGCACGGGGTCCCGAAGAGGCACCAAGTTTAATTCTTGCGGGGTAATGGGAGCGTGATAATTGTCCAGTTCTCAATCAGCCCGCAGCTGGTAGGAAAGTATCGAGTGACTTCTGGTGACGGCAAAGTAATGTAATGTCCCTCACCTACTTAGGGCCTGTTTGGCTCGCTGTGATTTGAGATAGTCATGATTTAAATCACGATTTGCAAACCACAACAAGCTGAACACTACTGAAATTTTTGGAAATTCTAAATCATAATTTGAGTTTATACAAAATGATAACCACCGAATCAGTTTACGTTAAGTATGATAATAATAATATTATTATTATGATTAAATTTTTACCTCAACAAAGTACTCAGGGGTATCATACTCAAAAATAAAAAAAAGACATTCATGGCCCTAAAGCTTCAAGTCACATAACATTCTCAAATCGTGATTTAAAATTGTAATCTGAAACCATTATCTGAAAACCCTACTGAGCCAAACGCCAGACTACAGTATCTCGAATCACAGCAAGCCAAACAGGCCTTAAACCATCAGTCACCACACCAGTAAAGGATCAGCCTCATTGTAAAAACAACTGATTCGAGCACACACAATATATACCCGTTTTCCTTCCTGTTCATCTCGATTAGGGAGGAAACCTCCGGAAAACTGGTGAAAAGTTGTCGTAAACGGGTATCTCCAAACCCTGTCTGGAAACCATGTTGTGTAAACTGACCTATCATGACCTTTATGGATGGGTTGCGTGAGCGGGTTTTGGGACATGCTATTGGCCAGCAGTATCACAAACTATTGTCGCCAACCATGGCATGGAGATAAATTACTCGCAGTCTACGTCGCGCGAACAGCCCAAGTCTACAAAAACCAAAAGGGAGAAGATTGAAGGCGTCTCGCAGTGCCAAAGGATTGGCAAAATCCCCTTTAAGGATTTCCGGAAAATCACCAATCGCAGTCATTGATAATTCAGTATTCCGGGCTCTTCTGAATGTACAAGGCGATTGAGCGATAAGTTGTTATATAGGTTTAATGCAAGTCCTAGAAAAGGAATCTCTCACTATGAATAATGAAACGTGATTGTGCTAAAATGAACCACTACCTACACTTGATCAACAGTCGCTACATACATCTCAAACCGAGTCCCTAGCCCCAGCGCCGACAAGTCCCTCAAACAGGCTCGCAATTTCTAGAACTCTTGCATCAAAGCCACCTCTTCCCAAGAAAGTAATGGAAAACGGCATCTTTTTCTCGTCTTCCATGTAGTGTCCTGCCGGAACCGCGATGGCGCACAAATCTAAAACATTACCAAAGTGCGTGAAGGTTCCCAAACGGGAGTTTATTGCGATGGGATCTTTCAAAACTGCAGAGATCCGAGGATGGAATGGGGCAGTTGGGACTATCAGGACGTCGATATACGACGAGTGGGAAGGGTTGAAGAGCGTGGCGTTGACCTTTCTTGTGAGCCTAGAGTTTGTCAGACTACCCGAGACATAAATTTGGAAGGAGGATAGTAGATACCCGGTCATCTTTCTCATATCCTTGTATACTTCTGCAGCACTAGTCCCCTTTTCCGATGCGTTCTGGAGGATCTCCCGGATCACCGGGTGCAACTCGTCCCTCTCCCTTTCCACCCATTTATTGTCTGGCAAAGCGGCAAGCCGCTCATTCACTAAAGCGCCGTCATACAAAAGCCTTCCAGCTTCTTCAAAGAGTCCCCAGTCACCTTCTTTAACTTCCCCCCCAATCTCGTGGAGGCCCCCGATAGCTTGGTAAAATAGTTTCCGATATTCTGGAGAACACTCTGCCACGGCCTTCCTATCCGGGATGGCAAACTTCCACCTCTTCCCACCCAACGCGTCTACCATCGGTAGCGGTAGTGATCCCGGCATTTTCGAGTATGGATCATCTGGATCATATCCTCTAACAAGATTCCAGAGTTTTCGGACATCCTTTACACCTCCCGCTGACGTGACCATAAATGATAGGCAGTCTAGCGACTCACAGGCATTCATAACCCCGCTGAAGGAAACAGTACCCTTTGTAGGCTTCCACCCAACCACGCCGTTAAAGCCTGCTGGAACGCGCCCAGACCCAGCGGTGTCAGTGGCTACGGCAAAGGATGACAATTCCGCCCCTACTGAAACCGCAGATCCCGATGAGGATCCGCCAGAGACATGGTCCGGGTTGTAAACGGAAGCAGGGACTCCGTACGGGGAACGGCAGCCGGTCAGGCCTGTTGCAAACTGGTCCAAGTTGGTTTTGCCAATGTAAACAGCACCCAGGGATATCAACCGCGAATATACCTTTGAGGAGCGCGATGGTATATGGGCGAGCGGAGGACATGCTAGGGTTGTTGGAATCCCAGCAACGTTTATGGAGTCTTTCAAAGTGAAAGGTACGCCGTATAAGGGTGGGAGATTGGCGAGGTCCGGGAACCGTTTTTGAAGTGATTCGGCGTAGGATATCAAAGCTGATCGGTCAACGAGGTGTATAAATGTTGACTTTGTTTGACTGTAGTCCTCAATTCTAGCGTAGAGACCAGTAATGACCGTGACAGGGGGTAGTCCAGATCTGTAGGATTTCCGAAGAGCAGCCAGGGTTAAACGCCCATCCCATATTGGCGGGGTTGATGGGGGGCTTTCGAGACCCAGATCTGGAACGGGAGCGCCCGGGGAGGGTACCGAGGCTAATTCTTTTAAGAGATTTGGAAGAGAAGAGACAAAGCCGAAGAGTCCCTGCGACCAATGGATCATGTTTAAAGATGGCGCTTGGAAGCTATCATTATATCCGGCGGCGCATTCCTCAATTATACCTGCTTCTTGTGAGATCTCGAATCCCAATTTTTCACAACTGGTCTCTGATGACTTACAGCACTCAAATCCGCGGTCATTGGCTTCCCGCACCGTGGTTGTCACGCAACACTCAGTTGTAACACCCCCGACAATCTTGCTTCTGTTAACAAATGATCATGATGACGGGTTATGGAAATACGCACCAAATGTGTGATTCCCCATCCGACTAACTCTTCCGACAAATTTGTATTCCAAAATGCTCCTTTTCCAGGTTTATCCACAACCACTTCCCCTAGCTTCGGTTGGCACTCATCCACAATATCATGCCCGTGCTCCCCCCTCACCAGTAATCTTCCCAATTTCCCAGGGTCCCCTATAACCTTTGAATGGTTGGTTCCAGGTGCAGATGCCTGACGATTCAGCTTTGAGGATGGGCAATCGGAAAGATCTGGGAGGTGCCCTTCGCGAGTATGGAAGATGGGAAGTTCCAATTCACGAAATGCTTGAAGAATTCGAACACAATTAGGAACAACCGCCGTTACCGCTGCGAGATTCATCCCAGACTGTATATCGCCGAAACCCGAGGGGAGGATAAAGTCACGTTGAAGATCTATCAAGAGAAGAGCAGTCGAAGAGAGCGGAAAGGTGTATGGATAGGGCTTTGCTTCAATTGTGATATTTTTCGGGAGAGCCTCCATCACTTTCTTTGGCTTGATATCCTCCCGTTGGGGTTTGGAGTGTGGGGACCCAATTTTGAATATTTTTTGATGGTAACTCACTCAATACTAATCTCCGGACGAAAAGGCGGACTGTTTTCCTCTACTGTGTGGAAAAATTGGTTGCCAATTATATAGGAAAAAGACGGTACAAGACAGCTGGGCAAACCGGTCCAAAGGGGCACCAGGTGGTAGGCTAATGTCCACAAACGCAGAGTTCCAATGCAGGGGATCTGCCAAGCGGGGCAACAGCTGTCATGACACCGGTATTCCTTCCTGGAGCCCCGGTACCCTTGCTTATCGTCGTAGAAGGTGACTTTTTTACGTTTGAAAACCTTGGGCTCGGATTGATTGGGCAGCAGTGATCACCATCCTTTGCTCTCGCGGGGGTTGAACGGTAGTATCGAGCTATCCGAGCTTCGCGTAATATGTGAGCCCGAGTTGTTGATGGGGTATGGTATTCATGGGGGTTGGTGGTATTGGAGTGGAGGAGGAAAAAAGGTAGCCAAGAGCGGGACCTGAAGAAGGACCAATTCATGTGTGATGGTCTGATGTCCGTCCCCGTCGGGCCGAAGGCTTGATTGGGGGTGCGGGGGGGATGCTAAGCAATTCTTATCGATAGTCACCTCAATTCAAGCGAGACTAACCCAAGACCGGCGAACCGGCGAGCCTCCTAATACCATACCACGCGACACGCCTAATAAATAAAGCCCCATGACACTAGAAAAGTCGACCAGATCAACTCTCACTAACCGGGCCGCCGGGTCTGGGAACTTGCGTGAGAAAGACCTGCCGCAGGGCTGCCGGTGGGCCCTTGAATCGGAAACTCTCCGATCAGGTTTGATCTCAGCATTCCCAGCCGCAAATAATGTGCTGTGGGGTCTGGATTGGCGTTTTCTTGTGCTTGATACGGCGCGGGGTTGCTTTTTGGAGTTCTTCCCGAAGAAAATAACAGCGACTATGTGCGAGTGGCGTCGCCGAGGGAATCGGAGACTATCGCGGTAGGGATGGGCCGGTGAAGTGAGAAGTGAAGAAGAAGAAAAAAGACATCTGTAAAGGACTTGTATTTAAGTTACATGTCTTCTTCCAGACTCCTTTAATTTGGGACTGTTCAGGAACGCTTGCAGATACGGTACCTGAAGAATCAAACCTCCAGTAATGCCTTTCTCATCTTCACTGACCTTCGCGAGAGTGGTGCCCCACCTTCGTCTTCGTCTCCCATACAAAGCTGGCGCATATGGAACTGCCAGATGGAGCAACAAAGGTCAGGGCTCTCATTGCCCCCCCCCCCAAAAGACCAATTGATTGACGAAGGAAACCCGAGATAGATCTCGACCCAGTCCCGGTGGAATTGAGGACATGGGGAGGTCTCGACTACTGGGCATACTGGTGCTCCAACATGCTTGCACCACCGCTCGCCGCAACAGTTAGCACGTAAGTTACCTCCTCTTAAAACAAATCATCAGAGATGTTAAGCATGGAAACCATAGTGTAATGTCACTAGGATTCACTGCGAGAGAAACCATTCCTATCGTGTTCTTCGGCTTCATGATCTGTTCTGTTGTAGTCACATTGACGGGCAAAGTCTGATTCTCTCGCCAACGGCTTCAAATGTTTGAGAGTACCGGCTAAGGGAAAGGGGTGAAGATGGGTGCAACATATCACGTAGCGTATCCAGTGATTGTGAGGTCCACGTTTGGGATGATTGGGAGTTATCCTGCTATCGTGATCAGAGGTACCCACTATCTTGGGAACTTTGGGGATGGTTCAGCTAACGTTCTGGATAGCTTTTGTGGCTATGATGTGGACTGCCATTCTCTGTGTACAAGCTGGCGCCTTCTTACAGAACTGCATAGAAGTTATTTGGCCTTCCTTCAAGAAATTTCCCAATCACCTCTCCGAAGGTGCTGGTATTGATTGTAGGTCATTTTGTGCAGCGCGCACAGTTCACGATGGGGGTGATTCTAATTGCACTTTCGCATAGCTGCTGGGTTGCTCTTCTTCTTTCTGTATTGGATACTCCAGACGATCCTCTCCTTAATGCCTATCCAGAAGCTCCGCCTCCTATTTCTGGCAAAAGCAATCATCGTTCCACCAACCTTCCTCGCTCTCTTTCTATGGGCTGTAATGTTTGTCCCCATCACGATAGATGCTTTACCACTCATAATATCTAACGAACTGTACAGAGTAACACATGGGGGTGGCCCCCTTGTAACGGGAAAATACGTCCTCACAACTCCAATGAATACGGCCTATTCCTCCCTGACTGGTGATCGGCCTTATCTCTTCTATGGCAGTAAACATGCCCGATTTCGGTAGATTTTCCAAGAACGGTCTTGCTGGCGGTCACCAATATTTCGCATTGCCGATTATTGGAACTCCGAGCGCACTGACACCTATTTTTGTCACCTCCGCACACTCACAAATCTGGGGTAAATTCGAATGGTACATGCCCGCAGTCATCGCGAAATTCGATAATCGAGCAGCGAAGTTCTTCACCGGGGCAAGTTTCATTTTGGCCACAATCGGGAACCAAATAGCTGCTGGGTAGGCTTTCTCCTTCAATAGTCCAAGAATTGCACGAGGGGCATGTAGTGATTGTGGAATTTTTGATTTTTTTTGTACTCGAGTCAATACTGATAGGTCGCTTGTTTCATAGTTCTTTCCCTTTCTCGAATGGTAAGGCTCTTGAGCTGTGCCTCTATCTCTATTCCTCAAGACAAGACATCTCTCACCACTCATAAGGAATGGGTACTGACTTAAAAGCAAGATGTCAGCGGAATGGCACCGCAATACATCAACATCTTCCGCGGAACGCTATTCATGTCAATTTTTTTGCGTCGTCTCCGTGGGTAACCCTCCATTCCTTCTCCCTACTCTAGTTACACCCACATAGCTAGACACCCTGGAATATCATCAAGAATGCCACAGGCCTGCTGTCCTTTCTCTCCGGCTATAGCTGTATGATGGGGCCGCTAGCTGGGACCATTGTTTGTGACTTTTACCTGATCCACAAGCGTAAGTTGGATATTCGTGAGCTCTACAAAGGTCACAGAATCTACTGGTACACTTACGGTGTGAACTGGAGAGCCTTTGTATCATTCCTCCTCGGATTTCTACCAACGCTACCTGGTTTCGCGCATAGCATCGAGAAGACACTTGATGTTGGTGATGCTTGGAAGGTTTGAATGACCTCTACCCTCCGTTCTACAGTCATACTAACGGGTGTCTAGCTTTATACATTCGCATGGCTTTTCGGATTTTCTGTCGCTGTCGTATCGTATTATATTATTTGCACCTCTATCTCCCCGCCGACGGAGAGCTTGGTGGAGTTTGCTGTGTTGCCGCCCGGTAAGGTTGACTCATCTCTAGGGACTACGCTCGAAGAAGACGTAGCTAGTGATCATAAGGTTGAGGATGTCGCAATTGGGGAGAAGGAAATTATTATAGAGAGCAGAGACTCGCCTGTTTGATTCTTTGATAGTGTACTTCACATGGGATCCCATACTTGTTTATCTGATGAGTTTTTGTTTTGTTTCCTCTATTTCCGCACTTTTTTCTACGCAAATTTCCCTGTGACTGGGACTTAGCAACGTCGATCGTGCAGTCTCATCAGTACAAAATATTATTATGCATTTATGACCACAAGAAGCACATCTCATAAGCCCTACAAGGTACGAAGATGCACAAATTATCCCGTTCGTCAGATCCATCTGGGTATCCACTGATGTGATTGTCCCCCGAGTGAGGACCTAACTATGGAAACGATAGAATCAAAAAAATTATTATTGTGTACATCTCGTACTGACAGGCAAGGTAACAGTGCTGCGATGCGTACTTAGAAAACGCGGAATTCACCTATCAGATGAGAAAACCCCTCAAGTAGAACAGTAAACCCCCTGAGTTTAAACTCCTAACTCACCCCCCTTCATCTCACTCCCTCACATCACTCCCGCCACTACACATCAGCCCCCCCTTCATAAGTACCCGTTAACCCCCAAGCAGAAAGTCAAAGAACATGCAAACACGAAACCCAAGAGTCCTAAAATGAGGTGTAGGGTCGGTACCCCCTCGATGCGATCATCCACTTGCTCTCCCGGAGGCCCCGACTCCCGCGGTAAGGTACCTGGCCGAGAAGTTTCAGTGTACGAAGGTGAGTTGTTCGGCTAGCTTTCGAAATAGGGTGGAGGGGGACTCGAGTTTCTTTCTCGTGCTGTGGGTGCGGGTCGGAGGTCCTCCTGGTGAAGGGTTGATGGTGTTTTTTTGTGAAGGGTCTGACATGGCTCGCGCGGCGTGTGGGATTACCGTGCAGACTTTGGCTCGCCGTGTTACCGTATTCTATGAATGACCGCCAGATTGGGACCTGGGATCGGACGAACCGGTAAATTTGGATTGCTTTTCTCTCTCTCTCTCTCTCTCTCTCTCACTCGGAACGTCCGCAGTTTCCACGAGCAATCCTCTCAACGGTGAACTGCTTGGCCGATTTATTGTATCGATATCTTGTGCACGACTGGTGCTTGAGTACCGGTAATACACTTTCGAAGGTGTCGAGGGTCAGGCTGCGAGGCGCCCCGTTCGGTATCATACTTGATTCCCCGCGCGGCACTGTATCACAAACGCCGATTTTTTCTTTTTTATCACAATTTCTCTGATGACAAAACCCCCACTCGCGGCTCAAGTGGGTCAGCCATGCATTTTCTTCCTGCTCGGCTATCGGTACTGTACTCTGTAATGCCGTACGTACGGCCGGAGATCTCCTTGTGTCGTAGGGAACCCTTGGGAAATTCCCTGAGCATTTCACCCTGTGGCAGAGACCGGGTCAGAAACACAACGTGAGATCACATTCAAATCGCAACCGGAGTCGGCACCAGGATGACCGAGTTATGGGGTAGCTGTAGGGCTACAGGCTTGAAGAGGGGATGGATATTCCGGCAGCAAGCAAAGGCTGAAACCCTCATGCTCGCCCTACCGCATCACCCCCGGGGGTGCGAGTCGAACGGGGTCGCGTGAGACGACCTCTTTGTGTGCAGCTAGCTCTCTGCGCTGACGATATGAACACTTTGGGCTGTGTCTTCTAGAAAACTCGGATGCGGTGTTACCTCTGCCCTCGTTGTTGCTCGTCCTCCGCTACTGGGGTTGTCATTATCGCGGAGACTACGTAATCTCGATGGTAACATATTGTTTAGTTTCTCATGTCCAGAAATACAAAGAGAATGTTCAGGATTTCGAGTACGTATCCGGTACGCCTAGGGTATCCGGGAACCAGAACTCGCCAATCTCTGGTGAGAGGCGGATACCGGTTGCCAGCCGTCGAGGAACATGGAAGAGGGGACAGAAAAAGCGGTCCAAAGATGGGGTTTTCGGGCCGAAATTGCTCAGCCATCCTGGGCTGCAGTCTTGTAGGAGCGGTCTAGTCTACTTATGTATAGAGATTCTGGAGAAAAATTGGGGGGATTTTTCACCTCGATTCCTGTATTGCAGGACCACATGGCCATTCCTCATGTGCGGTCCTAAGGGTGTGGGAAAGTCGTTCAAGTTTACTGTACCTGAAATATAAATACATTGAATAATTATTTTTCGGATCTAATTCGTCCCCTCTTCCGCATTCCCCTAATTGCGGGGCAGCAGGGGTCCGTGTTTGAGGTCGTGCCCGGGGACTCGGAGATCGGAGATGATGTAATATGAGAGCAAATATGGATGGAAGGTAGAGAGAGTATTCCTTGCTCAACCGATGCGCCAAGGCTGCCCTACCTACCAATAAGTGGAGTCTACGGTACAGCGGGGGGCAAAACTACGTTCACATTTTAGTAAGCCAAAATACATGCGATTGGCTCCCGGGCCACTTCGGTCGCCGGTTTCTTGAGGGTCATGGTTGCTACCCAATGTATTTTGGCTTACTAAAATGTGAACGCAGTTTTGCCCCCCGCTGTATATGCATCGGCACGACTCTTGCCGTTTCCTGAATTCTGATGCACCAAGTGAAGTACCGTATTTACTCGTATACCGGTAGTGGTCTATATACTCACCCAACAGTCTGCTGTCCCCTTTGGGTTAGCGCTCAGATTAGTCAGGCTCCATACCAGATTAGGGCCTGGTCTTCCTTTGCGTCGGAATGTTCATGTAGTTTTCAATCAAGTTTATTATCCTGGTATCACCTGTGGATTGAGGGCCAGGGTAAGCGGGGTGGAGCCTTTAAGGTTTGTACTTTGTACTCTTGGGATTATGGTGAATTGGCAAGTTAAGGGATTGCCATTAGAGTGTAATCCGGGCACCTTAGAGGGTGGTATCCACTTGAAATATCTTTCCATTTCCTGCTTTCTATAGGTCGGCCCCCGAAGCCCAGTTCGGCTCTAAGCACTCGCCCAGGGAAAACTGATATGGTACGTATACAAAATACACTCCACTCCGCACACCCACAGAGACCAATGATACAATTTTGCATCTGACCGCCTACCTGCACAGAACGTGACATGCGGCAGGAGAAAAGGAAGGAAAAGGTAAAGAAGGGCAAAGCGAGAAGTTTCATCCATGGGTACAGAAGTGTTCCCTCACCCCGTACGATGTTTGGTCAACCCTTCTGACGATAAACATGACAGTCAGGCAGTCTGAAATAATGTGCGATCACGGCATATCACTGGGTATCACGATGACCCGTTGCGGCATGATGCGGAGAAATGGTCGACAGGTGAAGATAGCGCTTCCGTGTCGCTGTGCTTTTGCGAACATGTTGAAAATGGCAGTTAGATACCCGTAGCTTGAAACTACGGTGGTGTGCGTACCTCTGGTATCAGGACGCGTAAGCGGTGAAAGGTTTTCACCTCAATGTTTCCCTTTTTTCTTTCTTTCTTTCTCTCTAAGTCGATCCTCTCCACTCCTTCCCTCCTGTATGCAATTTTCCTCGCTTCTTTCTTGTCTCTATATACAATACAAGGTTCTCTCATCTTCATCAGAGCCATCTCCACCCACTGCGGAAAAACCCTCCTTTCGATCATTACCTCTGCAACATCCACCTATTTTATTTACTCCAATTTCCAACAGAACATAACCCGGAGCAAAATCCAAACCTGTGGGGTAGCCCACTATGTAATGTAAATTCTTGTGAAAGAAGTAAAATGTAAAAAGATACAACCCACCCTGGTTAACCCCCCCCTCTAAACTCTAAAAATCCTCTCTCTATTCCCTAAACACGACCCCCCATTTGCGATAACTCCCTATCATTGTTACTCCTATAGTCTGAGATGTCCTATACCTTATTAGCTTTCGTCGGGTGGAAGGGCTCCCACAGGGCGGAAACACATCGCTAGGTCTTGCTAACGCTCCTTGTGGTGTTTCGGGAGTAATTGAGGCTTGAACAAACTTAATGAAAACTATCATGAGCATTCATATCATATGTATGGAGAAATAGCTTTTGCTCTCTGCCGTACGTGATTCCCCCCCTTCCTCGCGTGGTGGATTACCGTTGTTTCATCTTGAGAGAACTACATTTTAGTATGAGTACAAAATGGACCCATAGAGGAAAGGACACACCTATTGTTCTCCAATGTCTTTTTTCCTCCTAATGATTTCCAGGCTCGCGCCATTCTCCAGCTTGCATACCTTTGTGAGGCGGACTGTGGATATCCCGTTGACTTCGATGCATAGAGTTCGCCTTCTGTAGGTCGCTTGATTTCTTCTGGGATTCGACTGCATGTGCAATCTTGTCCGCCCAAATTATACTTTTCGCAGAGATTCTTCCCTTCTACCGGTATTCGACCGCCCCACGAGGGAGTTCCTCAGTCATCAACAGGCGACATTCCGATGGAAAGGTTTCCGATCAGGTTCCCCTCTCCCTCTCGATCCTGCTGATCTCGTTTTTCTCGTTAGAGTTCCGCCTGGCTTACCTTTATCTCCAGCTCTTTTGCCAATTCCCATGGTTTTATCGACATCCAGGGGGTGTTCCGAATGTTCTGCAAGTATCTTTTCAACATCCCCATCTGACCTCCCTTCCACAGGCCACAGGTTTCTTTTTCAAAATGCAAGGGGTCCGGAGTGACCCTGGTTGAATTATAAAATGTAGATCAATGGGTTTAAGTAAGTGAGCTCCCACCAATGGCATTTTTCTGGTCCAGAATGGCTCGCAATATGTCCTCGGGAATCCTCTCCATTCTGTTAACCATCTATTTAAACAAGGAACCTAGCATACTGGTCGTAGACTGCTCCTTTCGGGACGCAAAGGCATGGAAAAAACAGGTACTTCCAGTGCCTTATCCTCCAGCCTGATCGCACGGCTTGTCAACTACCAGCAAACTGACATCGCGGCTTGTTGGCAGGGGCTCTCTTTCTTCCTTCCCTGGATAATCCTCGTTACCTGGTAAGTTTCCCGCCGACCCCTAGATCTCCGTAGTGAAACTAGGCGCATTATCACCTTCACCTTCACCACTTCGTCATGCCAGCTTCTGAATTCTTTAGTTTGCATAAGCCAACCCCCCCCCCA